GAAATTGAAAAAGGCTTATGCCTTAATACTTGCACTTCTAAGTGATAATGTTATTGCTTCTCTTCAACGTGAAGACACGGCATGTAAAGTATGGAAGAAGTTACAAGCTATATATAGTGCTAAAGGAGCAGTGAGTCAAATTTTAACGCGTAAACGTCTAGCTACCATAAGGAAATCCAAGGATGTATCAATGAGACAGCATATCGACAGCATATTATGCTTGGTTGGTAATCTACGCGTCTCAGGATCTGAAGTAAGTGACTTTGATATTATTATTTACATTTTAATGTCTTTGCCAAAGGAATATGAAAATGTTAAGGCATCTCTCTAAAAACACCAAGTGATAATTTGAGTTTGGATTTTGTTACAAGCAGACTTATTGATTGTGAATCTCTTATGTTTGATTATAAAAGTGAAAATAAGTATTCTAAACCAAATACAAACAACTCTGTTTTTATTAGTTCTCGTAAAGAATTGTTTTGTACTTATTGTAAAAGAAAAGGCCATTTTGTTAAATTTTGTAGGAAAAAGAACTGTATCTGTCATAACCATGGGAAAACTGATCACTTCAAAAGTGAATGTTTTGATAATTCTAAAAAGCAGGCAAATTCAAATAGTAATAAGTATGCATCCTGCATCCCCTGCAATATCTTTTATGGCTGGAAATCTTCTGCATGATCAATTTATTATTGATTCTGGTGCAACTTTTCATATATTTTCTCACAAGGAATGGTTTACCTCAATTAAGCCTAAGACTGGAACTGTTAAGTGCGCGTCTAAGTCGGCGGTTTTAGAAATGGAAGGAATTTGTGATATTTGTGGTAAAACTAAGAATGGTGTTGAAATAATGTTAAAAGATGTTCTTTACGTTCCAAAATTAAACGGACAATTAATTTCTGTCAAAAATATTGAAGCAGCAGGTTTGAGCATAATTTTTAAAAATGAAATAGTTTACATTGAAAACAAAAGCAAGCGTTTTCGTTTTGGATATTTGGACAAATGCGGACTACATTTTAGTGATTTTTCACCAAATCTATTTACAGCTTTAGCAGTAAAGAATGATGATTTATGGCACAGAAGATTAGGACACTGCTGTGATCAAAAATTAAAACTAATGAATCTTCCAGCAAAAAAATCCTTTTGTGAAGTATTTGTTCGTGCCAAACAAAGTGGTTTGCCTATAGGAAAGGGTCCTCGCATAAAAGAATCCAAACAGCTTTTAACTATACACACTGATATATGTGGTCCAATAGAACCTCAAACACTCAATGGGGAAAAGTATTTCATGACTATGATTGATGACTACTCGCGATTTATGGAAATCAGACTGCTCAAAAGAAAAAGTGACATTGCTGATAAACTTAAACTATTCTTTAAATTGAATCTAACTGTTACAAAACTGTGCTGTGACAATGCCAAAGAATATATCAGTGGAGAATTGCATGATGTTGCTAAAAGAGCAGGTGTAAAAATAGATCCTGCACCTCCATACACACCTTTTCTAAATGGTGTTTCTAAACGAGCAAATAGAACTGTACTGGAGAAAGCTAGAGCAATGATACTTGAGGCAAATTTACCAAATTCCTTTGGGGTGAAGCAGTACGTACGGCTGCTTATATAAATAATCCACTCCCAAATAGTTCAATTGACAATCGTGTTCTTTATTCTCTGAAGTACAGTAAAAATCCTGATTTAACAAACATGCATGTGTTTGGCTGTGATGCTTATACTCTTGTGCCACCATTGCAAAGAAAGAAACTAGATGAAAAATCTGTCAGAATGATATTTGTAGGTTATTCCACAATGGGATATCATTTAATGATTCCAGAAACAAGATGCATCATTGTTTTCAGAAATGTTAAATTTAATGAAGAAAAGAAGAAAGTAGAAAATCAAAAATATATTTCCAATAGTTCTGATTTGAGTGAAAATGACAATGATGACATTAAAAATGAAGACAAATCAATTTCAGACACTGATAACGGCAAATTAAATGCTGCAAATAAGAAAGAGGAACAAAGAAAATCTTCCAAGAGAAAAGAAACAGCCAGTTACGTATCCTAATCCTGAGATTTACCAAGTAATGTTTGCACAGCAAGACACTGTGACATTTGAAGATATTGTAAATCTACCACAAGTAGAACAAGGACTATGGAAAAAAGCTATGGACTAGGAAATGAAATCTATGGAAGATAACAATGTCTGGAACCTACAAAGTTTACCCCTTGATAAAAGAGCTATTTCCTGCAAATAGGTTCTACATAAAAAACGAGATGGAACTTACAAATCCAGGCTTGTTGCTCATGGCTTTATGCAAAAGGAAGGCATAGACTATACAGAAACGTTTTCTCCAGTAATTAGTATGTGCCCTTTACGTTTAATCCTGGTAATTATCAATAATGAAGATTTGCAAACTTTTACTTTAGATGTCAAGACAGCTTTCTTGAATGGTAAGTTACATGAAATCATCTACATGGACCAGCCAAAAGGATATGATGATATGAGTGGTAAGAAATGTAAACTTAAAAAGAGTTTATATAATCTTAAACAGTCTCCTCGACAATGGTATCAGAAATTTCTTCATTTTGTTATTAAATTAGATTTTAAGCAATTGGACTCTGAACCATGTATTTTTATCAGAAATCTAAATTGTAAGAAAGTAATTATGGCTCTTTATGTAGATGACTTACTAATTGCAGGTTCGGATGTAAAAGAAACAAATATAATAATATCATTGCTATCAAATGAATTTCAAATGTCAAAATCTGAAAGGGTTTCAGAATTTTTAGGTATTAGACTGAAATTTGAGTCTGAGTGTTTATATTTAGATCAAAAACCATATATTGAAAAATTACTTGATAAATTTAAAATGTCTGATTGTAAAACAGCCCAAACTCCCATTGAACAAAAATCTACAGCAGCTGATTTTCAGAAAGGAAATGCATTTCATGGCCAATACAAAGAATTAATTGGATCTTTACTTTACTTGGCATATATTACAAGGCCAGATATTTTATTTGCAGTAAACTGCTTAAGCCAACTGCAGGAACATCCTACTGATGTTGCCTGGTGTGCTCTAAAAAGAATTCTTAGGTACTTGAAAAACACCTTAAATTTAAAATTGATATATAAAAAGGGTGATTTGGAAAGGGCAAACTTATGTTTGCATGTAGATGCAGATTGGAAGGGAGATACTCAAGATAGGAAATCAATTACTGGTCACTTTATAATGTTTTTAAACTGTCCTAGTGCTGTAACAAGCAAAAGTGTATTGCACGTTCATCAACAGAAGCTGAAATAATTGCTTTATGCAAAGGTATTCAAGATGTTTTATGGATAAAAAATGTAGTAAATGAAATTTCCAGTGTTAAAAATGTTTATATTTTTGAAGATAACCAGTCATGTATCAAAAATATCATTAATGAAAACTTTTCAGGTAGGTTGAAACATATACATATAAAATTAAAGTTCACTCGTAAGACTGTTAAGGAAAATAATATTAGAATTGAATATGTACAATCACATTTACAAATTGCAGATATGTTAAATAAGGCTCTGTCCAAAACAAAATTCTATGAACTGTTATCATTGAGCTGTTTAAAAATTTTGTAATTATTTTATGTTTTGTATAATGCGCGATTAAGGGGGGAGTGCTGAGATATTTCTAATTGCATTCTTACTGGTTAAAAGGAAGTATAGCTTTCTGTTACATCCGATACATTCATTAGCTTTCAGCCAGGTCCGAGTTATTCCAAAACTTAATCCCATTCTGTATGTTACTTTTGATTGGTTATTTATTGTGTCTTGTTTATGATTTGTTAAACCATGATCTTTTATAAAGTTATATATATGACCTCTGCAAACGTTTTTGCGCTACTTATCTCTGCTTGTATTACTCTGCTTGCTTGTACTTCTTTGCATGTAACTCTGCGTGTATCTCTGTGTATCTCAGTAATAAATGCTCTGCGTATCTCAGTAATAAATATTTGTTTTGCGAACCACGGCATTTTCTATGTTTAACAATAACAAAATGAATTTTTTATACTTGTGACTGATTTATAAACTGACATTAACATCAGCATTTTAAAAAAACTAATCTGAATGCTAATCATTCATTTTCAATAACAAATTATCAATTACCATGAGGTCATTTAACATGTTTGCTGCCGACCATGAGTTATCTCGTACGTCGAAGTTTGTGTTTAGGTGCCAGCTAAGAGTTAATTCCTAGAATATTTTTGTTTCACCTACACCACATAACGATCAAACTCATAGTATTTTCATTTTCTGTGGAAGTATCTGGCTTTGGGGATCAGTAAGAAATACAATTTGGTGCAATTCAAGAGATTTATTATAATTAATATAGTATAAGTAATTATAAAGTAAATAACATAGAAACTGTACAAATAATCAAATAATTTATAATAATTTTTGTTATAATAACTGTCATAAAAATAATCAGTCTTTGTTATAAGAAACCACCAACTACAAATATACTCGTTACGAGCATATTTGTAGTTAGCACTGTCATAAAACATTTTATCGCAAAAAAAGGCTACGATATAACTCATATAATTAATAAAGCAATTAAAAATTATCTAAATTCAATAGTTTTCCCATAAATAAATGCTTTGTATTTTTATTTTACAATTAATTAACTAAAATTTTTTGCCGTAGTGGAACCGTTTTTGAAAATGTCGCTTGGCAGCAAATGCATTAAAGAATTGATGGCAAGGAGGCAAAATAAAAATTAAAAATGGAAATGTAATATATTACAATTCCACCACTTGCCTATAAATAAATGAAACGACAAATCCAATTACATTTTCTCCTTAGTTTACATGATGCTGAAAGTGTGTGTGGGGAAGAGAAACTAAATTGGTCCTAGAGCTTACTGTATATTTTCCACAGCATGTTTTATAGCTAGCAACTTAGTCTATAATACAAATAATCGTCTATATTAGTCTATAATACAAATAAAATATTTAAAGACAGCTTACATTATGACATGACACACAGTTTTCATCTATACTTCCATCTTCACTAAGGCGGACTTTACGGAAAGAGCTTGAAATTTTACTTCTGAAAGTCGATAAGCTCGATGATTTAAAATTTTTTTGCACGGAGAAAGATTCCCCTTCACCGGTTGACTTCAAAGCAAAAGATGACGAGACAGAACTTTCTGGGGTTGAAACTTCTTTACAAGGGCTGCTATGACTAGCTGTCGAAATAAATAAATAAATAAAATAAAAAGTAGATAAATAATGAGATAAATTTTACAGCAAAACACCTCCAAAAAGTGCTTACTATTAAAAATATATAAAAAATGAAATAATACAGAAAAAAATTTGAAATTTGAAAACTTCAGATTACATTCTAACATCACAAAAATGAGTTCAACATTGTTTATGCAATTCTCTTATTTTCTATATGCAACAACAGATCGCTGTGTAGAAGAGAAGAACACCACCACAAAAAAGGAATTTTTCAAAAAATGGTAAGTGTTTTATAGCCAATGCTTATTTCTTAAAATTTTATTGATTGATTGCTCTAGTAGAATTCTTAGTGTGGCGCCATTTGAAAATGGCTGTTACCTTTCACGTTTATCAATTTCTCAAAGAGAGGTTTTCCTCAAGGTGTTGAAAAAATTTAAAACATATTTCAAATATTTCATTTTAAGTAAAACACTTAAATAAAAATATTTATTTTTGACAAATCATCATCTACTACTAAACATCACTGAAAATTAATTCAAAAAATATTTTAATTTTGAAAGTTTAAGCATTTACTTCTGCATCTTATTTTGAAATGTGAAATGACATAAACAGAAAAATTATGAAACATTTAAAAAGTACATTACTGTCTGAACAGTATTAAAAAAGACATATAGAGACGGACACTTGCAATCTACATGTTTCTAGAAAATTTCATTTTTGATACAGACTATAGTGTACATATGGCACAAAGTTAATAATTAAGCATCAGACTTGCATGGTATCAAAAAAACTACATTATGAATGACACTCATGGCATAAATAACACTAAATGCAAAATGTTAAGTCATCCATATTAAATTACTTCTTAAACAATTAATATTGTTTTGCTGATGAGAGCAAAGATAAGTGAAATATCATATGCATCATAGACTGACACCATAGATTGCTATTTACGAAGATTTTATTATCAATGGAAAATAACAACTCTCTCAGATTTTTGTAAAATACTCTAGCATGTTGCATATTATTAGTATATTCCATAATACAGTAACACTCTAGTTATCCAAATCCTAGACATCCAAAATGCATAGTCTTTCCAGGACAAATACACTTAAAATTAACTATTAATATATTTGTATGCTTTTAATCCTTCCTTTGTTGTAAAGAATACATGTGCAATACAAATCAATATACATGTACAAAATGTCTTAACAAGATATACTTTTTTATGAACACTTTTACGAACATTTAGTAACAATTAATAATAAAAAAGGAATTTATGGCAAATTTTCATGAACAGGACAGCAAGAAAAATGAGCATGACCGTACTGATGACAGCAACCTTACACCATGAACTGCACAAAATGTTTTGACACATCATTATTTGACTCAAATATGTTTTTCATGTGAGATTTTGACTCACATGAAAAATGAACTGAACTTGAAAATTAAATCAAGAGTTACAAATTTTGAAATTAAATATCCCAGTCAATTTAATTCATACAGGAGTCAAACTTATCATAATTTTTTTTCCTATACTAAAACATGAAAAATTTTAAATATTTCTGTAAATGGAAGTATATGACTATGACCAACAATTGCAAAAATAAAGGCCAGTTAAGGACTTTTAAGTCAGGTAAGGGGGTGGGTACTTAAGACACTGCTTATTGCAATGAAAAATGGAAGTGCACAACTAGATGTTATAGCAGTCCCATACACAAAATTTCAATGTTCATCAATTTTTAGTTAGGCAAGATACATATGTACATGCAGACATCATGAAAAAAATCATTTTTGAATTCATTTTACAATTCAGTTTGGCAAAAAGAGTCATTTATTCTGTCCATATATGCAGATGCCATGCAAAAAACAATCAAAATGGATATTTCCATTGAAATATGATATCCGAATTTTTTCGTGATTACCATATTTCCTTTACTTTGTATAAGGAAGTAAAAACGAGATTCTTTCTAAATACTCTTCTCTTCCCTCCCCCCCAAAAAAAAATGTCAGAAACTGATTTTTTGCTAAGGTAATATGTGAAAGCCAACAGCCATTTTAAAGTGGTATTACTCTAAGAATTCCATAAACAGCTTTAAATCCATGAAATAAAATAAACAAGAAATATTTGCATAGAACCCTTGCCTTTTTCAAGAAACCCTTAGGACTTTTAGGAAGGGGTGCTGTTTTTACATGTACCCTATGATTTGTTTTCACTTACAAAAACATCAGAGAATAGCACAAATTCAGCTTGTGCATAAACTCGGCATGGCACAAGTTGTTCTCCTTATGCATACAATTATCTGTTTCCACTCAATAAATATATAAATAAGAGAATTGCATAAATTTGGCATCACTTCTGAAACAATACAATGTTTTCTTTTTTATCTTTTTTTTTCCTTCATTTTTCATGCTTCCTTTTTTTTTTTTTTTTTTTTTTTTGTTTTGTTTAGTAAGCAAAGTGTACAAAAGTCATCTGCATAAAGATGCAATTCATTTTTTTATTATTTTTTCATTATCAAATATATTATCAAATATCATGACATACTAAATAAAAAAATTGAACATATTCACTATTTTCCATTATTAGAATTACAATGGATGCCGATTTTCAGCCATAATTAATTACTTTTGTTATTATAATTAATGTATATGAATTGGAATAAACAGTTTTATGAATTAAAAGTAATTTAAAAAATTAGTAACTATTATTAAATGATGAAACAATATGTTTATCAGTTTTCAAAAACTGTTGGTATTTTTCACAGATTTAACCAGTTGTACCCAATTTCTGCCATTAGTAGAGCAAAAACTATTTTATACCTGCAGAAAGCCAGGGTACTTGTATATTATCCCGTCAACAGTAAAACTGTAGCCAAACAGTGCAATTTAGCAACAATTATCAATAAGCATTACACAGCAACACATTTATAACATCCATGTTTTTGTTGACCCCAAGTGATTCTCAATACACCACCTTTTGTTTTTATCAACAAAGGTATAAATTAACTGATTAACTGTTACTGAAGTATTCTTTCTTGTATTTTGGAAAAAAAATTATGTAGGTCTGCAGAATCACATTTGTGACTGCACTCAGATTTATGTATAGATGCCTGGGATAATTTGTAGAGACATTAGGATTTTTTGGAAGCAAGAGAAATTGAAAAATATGCAACGGCTTTGGCAGGAATCGAACCGTGGACCTCTCAAATACGCGCTGAGCATGCAGACCACTACACCATGAAGGCTCGCTAAGAAGGCGGGAGAAATACCTTAAAAATTAACATCTGTTGAGTGGGAAAAGAATGGCTGTATACAGCCAGAAAAACAGTAATATACTGAGACAACCAAAATCTTCAGGAAGTCTATAGCCATGGAATATGAAACACAGCATCTAGTAAAATCGGAAGGCTCACCAAAACAGTACAAATTGACAAAAGCCTTTTAATAAAGTCAAATACTTCTACAGCAATGGTTATTTGGGGACTTGTGCAGAGAGACTGATAAATATTTGATAAATATTTAGGGATAGTGCTGTCCACTATTCTTCAGGAATGACTGGTGAAACTTTGACAGGATCTCTGCCAAATTTTATGGTTTGATGGTAATAAACTTTCATGGTCGACGGGATATAAGTACCAAAGACAGTTATGATTACAAATTAACTTAAACTAACATTTGGTCAAGTTCATATATAACTTACATTCTGAAGGTGACTTCTCGCCTTTCACACTGCTAGGCAGTTTCATCTGGTTGCAAAAATCACTTAACTTTTGCTGTGCACTTACAAATGGATTATTGCTACCGACAGTAATAGCATCATCTCCTATATCATTAGGACAATCAACAGGTAACATCAAAGATGCATTTTTTTCTTCTTCTACACTTTTCATGCTGAGGAAATCTTCTGCTAATAAGCCACTTTGTGGTCGCTAAATGAATAAACAAAAAAAAAAAAACAAGTTTCATGTTTAATTTAATTTGTTAAATCATTGATATTCAGAGAAATGAAATTTGCTAAATATCTAATAAAAGAAAGAGGAAAATTGGGTCTTCGCCTAATTCTAACATACTATTTATTGATTCTTTTAGTGGGGCAAAATCTCAAAGGAGAAGGAATCTGAAGCGAAGTGAAATTGAGTAACAGAACTTCAGATTCAATAAAATAACTCCATTAAAGAAAATATCACATAAAAATTAAAGAGTTCAAAGTTATTCAGAAGCCATGAGGTCATAAAAGTATCACAGGATTAGCATTAAAAACTGATACAATATCCAATAAACTATAATCTAATTACAAGATAATTGTACGAGGGCTATCCAGAAAGTAGATTACGTTTTGGAATAAAAAAATAAACAAAGTATAGGAAACAAATTTTATTATATACAGATGAAAGCCACACTCAAATACTACTTTTCTACATAGTCACCATACAAATTAAGGCATTTATCGTAGCGATGTACGAGCTTGGAAATTCCTTCGTCAAAAAATTCGGCCGCCTGCGCCTTCAACCACTTCGTTACCTCTTCTTGCAGCTGTGCGTCGTCATCAAAACGCTGCATAGCCAGCCACTTCTTCATTGCTGGGAATAGGTGGAAGTCGCTCGGTGCCAGGTCGGGACTGTACGGCGGATGAGGAAACAACTCCCACTTAAAAGATTGAAGAACTTTACGAGTGACATTTGCCGTGTGGGGCCGGGCGTTGTCGTGAATCAACAAGATCTTAGAGCTCAACATTCCTCTGCGCTTGTTTTGAATTGCTCTTCTGAGTTTTTGGAGAGTTTGGCAATACCTTTGAGAGTTTATTGTAGTGCCTCTTTCCAGGAAGTCCACCAAAATTACACCTTTTCTGTCCCAAAAAACAGTCGCCATCATCTTCCTTGCCGACATTGTTTGCATGCATTTCTTGGGTTTTTGGGGAGAACTTGTGTGCCCCCACTGCATTGATTGCAATTTCGTTTCACAGTTCACATGTTTCACCCATGTTTCGTCACCAGTAACGATGCGATCGAGTAAAGAGTCACCATCCTTATGGTAAGCGTCCAAAAGTTCAACGCTGCAGCCATTCGCTGATTTTTGTGGTCCTCTGTCAAGATTTTTGGAATCCATCTTGCACAAAACTTGTGGTAACCAAGCTTTTCGCTGATGATTTCGTGCAACAAACTTCGCGAAATTTGTGGAAAACTCAAAGAAAGTTCCGTTATTGTGAAATTTCGATTTTCACGGACTTTAGCATCGACTTTTTCGAGAAGTTCGGCGGTCACTATGCTGGGTCTCCCACTTCGATCTTCGTCGTGAACATTGGTTCGGCCATTTTGAAATCTTATGACCCACTGACGCACTCCAGCTTCAGTGATAATGTTGTCCCCATACACTTCACGAAGCTGCCGATAGATTTCTATCGGTTTACAGTTTTTTGCAGTCAGAAACCTTATTACTGAGCGCACCTCGCGGGATTTTCAATTAACGCAGACATTTCAAACCGTCACAGTATCTGAACGGAGCACAGCACGAACCTCTCACTAGCACGGCTAGATGCAGACTGAGCTGCACAACGCTCTGACCCCAAGATGGCCGCGCTAGCCCCGCCCCTAGCGGACACAGACGGAAACGTAATCTACTTCCTGGATGGCCCTCGTATATGATATAATAATCATAACAAAAGGGTTTCTGCAATGAATACAAATCAAATGAAAATTTCATCATCAAAATGGTAGCCAGTGTTACCTGAAGACAAGCTATGATTTCACAGATAGCACAAGACAGCATTTCTCTATGGATCACTGATTTGCATCATTTAATAGCTACTTCAGGCAGTGACAATACTAATACTGCCAGCAACATTAAATCGCATATGCATAACTTCAGATAAATCCAAAGACCACAATTTAAAGGCTTTAAGTCTAGAAATCTGTTGATACCAAAAGCAAAAGCTTATAACTCGGTTCTCACCAAAGCTGACAAAAAGAGTTTGAAATTTACATGTGCAACAAAGCAGTACATCTACTATCCTAAACTACAGACAGTATTTTCATACCAATTATACTTTTTGTTTAAGATATTTTTATTTAGTTTCTTTGTTTGTAAGTAAACTTCATTGGCTTACTTTCAATAATACCATACTTCTACGATTTGAGTAATCTTTCTCCCCCCTTACCTATAGGTCCATAAAAAGAGGCAATATTTTGAAATTGAAGATATCGTTAAATCAGAGATTTTTCAACATTACTTATTAGTCCAAAGGGGCAATTTTCCCAGAAGGACTATTAATTTCGTTTTCGCATTTTGGGCTGATTCACTATAAAGGGTGAATCTCTTTCACTATAAACGGCAAAGCACAGCAAAAATTAGCTTATGCCATAAAAGTGGCACTAAACGGTGAAAACTTATGTTTTATGAGTATTGTAAACATTATTTTAAAGCAAGTTATAATATATATTTTTAGCAAGTCTAGATAAAATGTTTGTAATGTTTTTCAAAGATCACATAACAGTAATCAAAGGGAGCATTTGAATCCAGCTTGATCTTTTTCATAAAGCAGTCTATTGCACGAGACCAATTTAGTCGCTGTTTCAAAGCCCTAAGAATTTCTCAACTGATTGTTAATAAATTTAAAGAGGATATTATTCCAAGACCAGCTGTATTTGCAGCAGTATTATTACACAAACAAATGAAATCCTTATTTGCAGCCTTTCCTTTAAACTAGACTGACATGTACAAGCTGAAACATTTCATAAGACTTCATTAAAAATATATATCTATGGGAAAAAAAGCTGATTTTGCTTGAGAAGCTATGATGTAGGGTATAAAATATGATTTTATATTACTGCCCTGCCTGCTCAATGAATAATTTAAATCTTGTGCACGCTAATGATATTAAGTTACTGCTTGATTTAAACTAAATCTAAAATAGTACCAATTTAAAGCATTTAAAGCACTGTTTTACTCTCTATTACTAATTAACAAAATATTTTAAATGCTTTTGTTAGTTTCCATCAATTTTAACTTTAATAACCAGTTTTTGCCAATGCCAAAGCAAACACTATTTGCTGCCATATAGCCTTGCTGTAGGCATTATGGAAAAAACCTTGCAGTTTTTTCGCAATGCCCCTAGCATTTGATTTAGGTCATGGTAATTCTTTAACAGTATTCTTTTTTATCATATTTCAAGGTGCTGCAATTTCTGTTTTTCTCCATTTTGCTTTACCTAAATAGAAAATATCTTCATTATCATCACTGATATAATTACTGTCAGATAAGATTTAAAGTCACAGCTGTAATTATTTCTTTTCAATGTTTTCAGTAATCTTCCTAATCATTACAGTCTTTACATGACAGAAGTTTAACTATTAATCATCCCTTTGCCATCACTCAATTATTTATAACATCTAGACACTGTTTAAAATTATTATTACTATGATAAAACAGTACAGTAATTTTTAATTAGCAGGGTGCTATTTGGTGTCAAATATAAATGTTGGCATGAAATTTAATTAGCGATTTAAAGAATGGCAAACCTAAAAATGTACAGCTTCATGAAAACAATAACTATATAATTAAAATAGGTACTTGTGTATTATTCCATTTACTCTGAAACTGTTGCCAAGAGGTGCAGTTTAGCTCCAGTTATGGACACGCATGGCATAACAGCACACTCCTAATATTGTGTTTTCATTTGATGTAATCCTTGATTCTTTTTCGCTAAGCCACTTTTATTTTATTTTATTTTATTTTATTTTTTAATAAACAATAATATAAGTGAACTATTATTGCTTTCTTTTTTCCTTGCATTTTTGAAAGAAATGTTTAAAATTTAACACCTGCCTTCTGCAGAACAATAAGTGGATTACTTTCTCTTTCTTTTGTCCTGAGTTGTTAAGAGAACCTTTGAAAGTTATAGAATGTCATCATTAAAAATTGTGTAAGTTAATGTAACAGAATACAGTCAGTTAAATATGGCCAAGAAAACAATAATAATAAATGGGAATAATTACTTGCAGAAAGTTTGTACTGATATCATTCTAAGTAGAACCTCCTGTCAATTCAAAGAGCCTAGAAATCAACAAAAGTCTTTTTATTGAAGCAAAAAATTGAAGTGAGTCAAATATTGATTGTTTATTAAAATAAGAGGTTCCTTCACAATTCCACAGGAACAATTAACACAACTTTGGAAGGAATCCGCCAACTTTTATGTTTTCATAGTAGCCAGCTTTCAAGACCGATAGGACAATACCAAAGTCCCTCAAAATAAATAGCAAAATTCACAAATGAAATTACAGTACAGATTTTAACACATCAGAAAAGCCATATTTTTAAGTTTAAACATATTTGTCATGATAATTTTAAGTACACAAAAGTGCATCGTGAGATGCATCAGATAATTAAGGTAGTATACATATTAGAAGAAAATGAGCCAAGTTACAAAGTGGGACTAGGTCATTTTGTATTTATAATCAAGATAATAGAACTTGCTCATTGCCTTGTTGGGAGTTTAAGATTTTGAGGCCAAACACCTGTTTGCTTGGAGGGTTAACTTCAATCTGCACAAGAGGCATAAAACTCATAGTAAGATTTGGAAAACATTTGCATCTTCTCAACCAATTAACACTACAGGATTTCAATTATGTTAAAATTTAGTTGATACCACACTCAAATTTATTTTGCCATTGCACTGCGAAATCAGTACTTTCTGATTATTCACATCGCCACTGAAAAATCGTGTACTCATTGGAGACTTTTGAGAGCATTCGCAAACTTAATGCTGACTCCTTTTTTTGCCAAGCTAATCCATGGAAGACAAAAGTCACTTTTAAAATGGCAGCACGCTAAGAATTAAATACAAGAGCAATCACTGTACGGAACTGAAAAAGCAAGAAGTATCAGTAAAAGAACATGTACCTTTTCTGAAAAATCTTTCTTTTTAACACATTGT